TGAGCCAGAGGCACCCAGCTGAGCCATGCCTGAATTCCTTACCCAAAGAAATTTTGAGATAATGTCTATCTGTTTTAAGCCATTAAGCTTCAGGGTTACAGAATAGATTTATTACACAATAGATAACACACTATCACAGCTCTTACTCTGTGACTCAGTGAGTTAAAATAGGGGATCTATCCATAATCAAATATACCATATTGATTAGAATTACAGTAGCTACTATTACAATTAAAGCCCAAATATCATTACCTTATCACAATGTAAGTTTATTTCTCACTCACATAATAACCCATTTCTATTATTCCTGGGTGACTGGGGGCTTTTCTCCAAATACTGGTTTAGGAACACAGAGTCCATTTTTCAGCTTTGCCATTTCATAAAATTAAAATTCTTCCAGCAGGAAAGCACATCCTGTTCTTAATAACCAAACCCCAAGTGATGTATCACTTCTATTCATACCATATTTGAAGAAAATTGGTCTAATAGCCACAACTGAAAGCAAGGGTGGCTGGGCAATGTAGGCTGTGCTTGGCAGCCACATGCCATAATCCATTCCAGACAATAGAAAAGAAAGCACAAACTTTTGTTAGTCATCTAGTTACATCATACTTACAATTAATAAATACATATCCAGGACTTGGGAAAATAACCACAGTATGGGATTATGGTCTTACTAGACATGCTATAAGCTACATTTAGATAAGAATTCCTCCATAAGCCCTCACTCTGCATAAATGCAAGTCTTTTAGGAATTCCAGTGGAAATATTCACAGTACTTTGAACTATAATCATTCAATAGTATGTACCCAGTCGCTTTCCATTGATTCAAGTCAATATGAGAGCCGGATGGCATGCCATGAAGTGTTTTTAATTAAAACAAAAGCTTAGTGTAGTTGCAACCCTGGGGATCAATTATTAAATATAGTGGAAATATATCAAAACATTATTGGAATTCTGAGGTTCATTATAGCCATTTCATATTCTTTTAATAGTGAACTGATGCCCTGTAATTTAGTCACCACACATACCATAGTTTACTATGGAAACCAGATACCCTTCCTGTTTTAGTCCGTTTTGTGTTGCTATAACAGAAATACCTAACACTGGATGATTTATAAAGAAGAGAGGTTTATTTGGCTTACAATTCTGGGACAGGTGCATCTGGCACGGCCCTCAGGCTGCTTCTACTCATGGCAGAAAGTGGCAGGCAGCTGGCAGGTACAAGCAGATCACATGGTGAGTGGAAGCGAGAGAGCGGAAGCGAGAGAGTGAGAGGAAGTGCCAGGTCCTTTAAACAATCAGGTCTCGTGGGAACTAATAGAGCGAGAACTCACTCACTACCCCTGCTCCCCCAGGGAGAGCATTAATCCATTCATGAGAGATCCACCCCCATGACTTAATCAGTTTCCAACACTGCCACATTGGAGATCAAATTTCCACATGAGTTTTGGAGGAGACAACACATTCAACCTCCATCACTTCCCAAATGCAATCACTCTCATGAGAAGTCCCAGTCTGTGAAGGAGGAGACATAGGGAAATTTTAGAAGATGTTCATGCTTCTTTCATGTTAAAGAAACATGGAAAGGCTACTGGGCCTTGACAGGGGATCTTGCAAAAGAGAGTGAGGAGCATGTACATAAATAGTCCAATCCTGCATTATAAACTCTTAAATTCTTTCAAGCCTTTGTATATAATGCAAAGCAATTTCTAACCCTCAAAATACATTTTCAATAACATTCCCTAGATTTTTAATGGTGTAACTTGGGAAGGATATTGAATCTTCTGGGTGAGACTAATCTCCTCCCTATCTTTCTGTATTTCAAATTACAGGTCATATTAAATTCAGATTTTGGTTACTGGCCAAGCAATAATGGTGGGGCTGGGAAAGAAAGGACAATTAAGTTTTCTGTCACAAGGGAAGCATGGTAAGGAGAATTAGTAGGAAGGTTTCTGAAGGGTTGAGAGGGGGTGTAAGCTTTCTAAGATCTTTGAATCCTTCCAGATAGCCCCATTCCAATAATAGATTCACATTTTCCCCAAATTACCTAAGAGAAGTGGCAAGGTTGGGAATTCAGTAAGCATCACAGCTCAACAACTAACTGCATTTACTGTGGCATTTGGTTTTCAGCAATTGCAGGCCCATGGTTAGAAGCAGTGAGATTCTTCCCAACACAGTCATAAAGGTGTCCTGATTTCAACTTCTTGCTTGAGGCCAGAAATTCAAATGGCCTTTAAATTATCTAATTTCATTGTAAACAAGTATCACATATACTTTTGGAACTAGTACTCATCACTGTTAGTTTTTGGCAAGAGCTATCCAGCTCCTTAATGTATAAAGGGCATTAATGCTATAACATGAATATCATTTCCTAGTACAAAGTAGAATTAGGAGTTCTTCTGTCTTTTGATCTGTCTTACTCAATTATCAATCCTTCATACACTGCTTCTCTATAGTGTGGTAACCACTCTGTAGTATCAATTTCTGTATTGGCTAGCTTTCTATGGTTGAGAAAAAAGAACCTGAATCTCACTTAAAATCTAAATTAAATATGAGAAGAGTACACATTTAAAGAACTGAACAAAACCAAGATGGGAGAAAGCTGGAATCATATAAATGGATTCCAGTGACAAATGCAGAAATCCTTACGTTGCTGCCAAAGGATGACTCAATTTGAACTATTTCCAGTCCAGGAGTGATATTCCATATACAGTACTTTACATCTGGTACAAAAGGGTTCCAACCAATCGACACGAATACTAACTAAAACATCCATTACGGCCTCTTGGTTCTTAAAGCTGAATATTGGCCCTGCTCCTATCTCTGTGTCTCCAACCAAAATTCAAAGAATGGAAAGTTGTTGGCTTACCTGGAGACTTGTGTGACTGGCAGTTCACCAGAACGTAGAATGAAGAAAAGGAAAGTGCCCACAAAAAGGAAGGAAAAGTCAAAAACAGATTTGAACATATATACTAAATGGACACGCACACATCAATATTAATTCAATATTAATTTTGACTCTATAACTACAAGATCATTTTACACATAAGGTTCTGCAAATCACATATTTCATTAAATATATTGTGGACAACTTTCTACAGAAGTATACACAGAGCTTAACCACTTTCTATGAACTGAACAATAGAGTAATGAATAACTACAATCTAATCAATCTTCTTGGCAGGACACTGAATTCCAATTTGTTATAATTAAAACAATTCTGCAATAAACATTATTTACATCTATCTATTTATTCCAATAGGATAAAATTCCTAGATCTGAAATTACTGTTTCAAAAGGAATAAACATTTATAATGCTGATAGGTCTTGCCATATGGCCATCCAAAAAGGTAGGAGACAAATCTACACCACTAATGATGAACAAGTATCTGTTTTCCCTCACTAATGCCAGTAATGGGTATTATCCAAATCTTAGATTTTAATCCATCTCAAAGACAAGAAAATTTGTTTTCATTCATATTCTTCTGATTAAAGAGGTTAAGAACTTCACAAATTTTTATTTATTTGAATTCTTCAGCTTTGACATGCCTACTGGTATGCACTGGCAATTTTCCCCACCGCTGTGTGTGTGCAACAGCACTCTGTTCCTAAATGACATATTCTTTTATATAAATTGCACACATTTTCTGTCAATATTCTTTTATGTGTTTTTGGTATCTTTCACCATGTCAGTTTTAAATCTTCATAGAGGCCACTTATTCTCTTTCTTTATGGCTTCTAGGATTCCATGTCCAGCTTGATAAAATCTTCCTCTTTTCTATGTTTGCCTCTAACATATTATTTCATAATTAGAGATGTTAAATACAATTGTCTTATATTTCTATGTAAGGTATAAATGTGCTTCTAGCTTTTTTTGTTGGAGAGGTGGATAATCAGCTGTCAAAACATCGTTTTCCCAATATTGAAAAACCAGTCTTATTATATGCCAAAATCTCATATGCAAAGAAATTCATTTCAAAGATTTCCTTGCTATTCTTGCCTAATTACATTCCTCATGTTGTTTCCAATAAAATTGTCAAAGTAAACATATCTTACTGGATTGTTTGGAATTACAGTTTACAAACATTTTAATAGCACTGAATATTTCATCTAAAAAATATTCCTCCTTTTATTATACTTTCTATTTCTCAATATAGCTTAATAATTTCCTTTCACCTCTATTCATATATATATTGCCTTATAGTTTTCTTATTTTTGAGAGTTATATTACACTCATAAAATTTGAACCTCTTGTGTATTTTTCTCTAAAGCAGAGGTTGGCAAACTTTCTGTAAAGGGACGGTAAATATTGAGTCTTTGAGAGCCATAAAGTCCCTGTTGGAACTACTCAACTCTGTAAACAAATGAGTATGGCCATGGTTCAGTTAAACCCCATTTAAAAAAAGAGGTAGCAGACAAGATTTGGCCCATGGGCTGTAATCTGTTGACCTCTGATCTACAGCAAGAATCTACAAATGTTTTCTATAAAGTGTCAGACAGTAGGTATTTTTGACTTTGCAGGCCATGTGGTCTCTGTCACAACTACTTAGCTTTCCTGTTGTAGCCTGAAAGCAGCCATAGATAATACAAAAACAAATGAGTGTGGCTGGGTGCCAAAAAAACTTTATTTACAGACAACAAAATTTAAATTTCATATAACTTTCATGTTGAAAATATTCTTTTCACTTTTCTCAACCATTTAAAAGGTTTTTATAGGTTTTAGATCATGAGCTATACAAAAGATCAATGAGACTGTGGCCACGAATCAGTTTGCTGACCCCTACTCTAGATCACTTTAATTCAGAGTTTATGGCTCCTTGAAAGTCAAACAGAATTCATTCAAAACCAAGTCACTTTAAGGGCCGGCCCGGTGGCGCACTGCTATAATACGCCGCTTGGGAAGCGCGGTGGCGCTCCCGCCGAGGGTTCGGATCCCACATACAGACCGGTTCCCGCTCACTGGCTGAGCGAGGCGCGGGAGCAACAC